GTTGCCAGGGTGGGCACCATGGCAACGGGGGAGCGATGTCATCTCTATGGCGACCTCCCCCCAGGGCATCCCCCCGCCCCGCCCCTCCCCCGATGTGCCGGGGTCCAAGTGCGGCGCAGGAGCAAAGTCCGGCTTCGGCGCTGGCCGGGCCTCTAGACGGGGTCAGCTGCCAGCCGCTCCCTCCGCCGGACCCGAAGCCTCCGCGCGCGGGTTGTCGTCGTCATCATCATCGTCGTCCCGCTCGCCAGGGGAAAGCCGCCGCGGCGCCGGCCCTCGCGGGGGGAATGTTTCTGGCGCCTGCACGAAACCTAATTGAGGAGCCCGAGCTCCTGGCTGGAGCCGCGTCCACCTGGCGGGGAGCGGAGCTGTAACCGGAGCCGCCTGCCCGCGCCGAGCATGGTCACCGTATCCAGCAGGGACGAAGACGGGGCTCTGTGGCTGCCGGGGGGGGTGGAAACGGCATCAGGACACGTCCCGCGAGTGCTCGCCGCTGCTCTCCGGCTGCAAGGAAGCGCGGGACGTGGAAACCCACGGCCCCTGCACCCTCCTGCTCCGGGGGAGTGGGATCCAGCAGCTGGAGCGGCCCCCAGTCTTGTGCCTGGGTCTGGGAGGGGAGGCGGCGAGAGCGGGGGGCTGCGAGCCAGGGCTCCGGGGTCCCTTTCCAGCTCGAGAAGCCCCGGGTCGCGTGCAGGGGTTAACCGCCACCTCCGTGGGGCCCTGCGTGGCGCTGGCTGTTTGCAGAGCTCTCGGGGGGCCGTGGAAAGGCAGCGCGCGGCGGTTATTTATTGCTGTTAACCACGGAGGGGCCGAGCGGGGAATCGTGAGCCTCGGATCGGGCTCCGGCGACGTAACAGCTGTCGTGGGGGCTTCTGCTGCTGCGGGACCCGAGGAGGGGGTTCAGAGCAAGGAGCAGCGCCGGGGCAGGGTCGGAGAGGCCTAGAGACAACCTGCGGGGGCAGCGTCCTCTGCCAATGGATTCGGTGCCCCTCTCTCTCCCCTTCATCTGCCTGGCAGCGAGGGCCGGGCACGGTCTGTGCGAAGGAACGCGGCAGAGGTGGTACCTACGGCCGCCCGTCGTGGGACAGCCAGCCCCTTCCCCCACGAGCGAGAGCCCCCCCCCGTCATCCCACCCGTGACCAGTGTGGAATTGACTCCCAGCAGAAGTGCAAAGGGGTCGAGCTGGTCGTCACTAAGGGTCTTGTCCTGGGGCATCACATCGTCTTCTCGCCAGGGCTGAGCGCAACGGCTCCGCTTCTCCTAGGTGATCCCCAGGGCGCATCCGATGGTACCTGGAAAGCTGGAGAACGAACCCGTCCCGCAGCCGGCCGGGCTGGATCCCCGGCGCCTCGGGATCAGGTGAAGCAGGAGAGCTGCCCAGGTGCTCAGCGCTCAGGGGATGCGAGGGGCTCTGCCTCCCCGGAAGCTGGATGTGATCAGGGACGTGGCCCCTGGGCACCCCCTCATAAACAGGAACCTGTTCCCGTGAGGCACATCCCACCTGCAGGTCTCCAGCCTGCCGGGTGCATCGCAGCTCCCCAGCTGCCAGGCCGGGGGCCACGGGAACTTAAAAACCTGAGGTACGGGACTGGGATGTGATGGAGTAACCCTGGCAGAGAACCCACAGGTCTTCCCGGCTGGCACCTGGCCGCCGTTCACCATCCGCGAGGTAGCTGCTCCACTCGGGGAAAGAGCGTGGTCAGAGAACCCAGGAGCCCTGGCTCCCTGCCTGGAGCTTAGCAAGGCCCCACTTCCTCTTTCTGTGAGGCCGCTCAGCGCTCTTCAACCTCGGAGCTTTCTCCAGCCCGGAGGGATCCCTACGCCCGGGCAGGAGCTGCCGGCACCTCCACACTTAAGCCTTGCAATCCCCGGTGGAACAGCCCCGGAGCGAGCTGCCGAGGCGGCTGCAGGTTCTCCCCACGAAGCGGCCGAGATCTACTGCTCTGAGGCCGTGCCCTCGGCTCTGCCCCCAGTGTGCTTTTTGGACTGAGTCACTCACTTCTCGTTAGGGCTGCGGAGGGGAGATCCCTTGTTGCAGCTCCTGTCGAGCTG